ATACGTTTAGTGAAATTATATTATTGACGTCGTGCTCTTGGCATAGCACTAATCTACTTTCAAGCACGTTCTGATATGCGGAAATGAGTTCTCTTGGACATTTTAAAGTGTCTTGCATCAAAATGCTTAGTCAGTTTTAAGATATTTTGAATCTTTGCAATAAATCCAACTTTGACACTGTTAGTCTGTTAGTGCTCATTGCGCAAACCTAGGCAATATATCTTATTACAGAAAGATAGGCACATATATAAACATACCCGTTTATAAAAACGCAAGCTAACAAACGACACTTAAAGGCGACCCTCCTAGATAACTCCTATTGAAATTCAATATCACAAAATGAGATGAATCACTCAAGAAAATAAAGTCATTGCAGTAAAATGGACGATTAAAAAAATGAAGATTTAGCTGATTTCGAATTGGCAATCACAAAAATAACTTATCTTGAAGTTTGTCAGCTGAAGCTGTGGCATTCACATATCGCAAAAGTAAATGGGTAAACAGCAAAAAATAAATTTCAATGTATTACTAATAGCGTAGGATAATTTTTTTGTTCTTTACCAGATGGCAGTGATGCAATGGCAGTAGTTGGCCTTGCAAGCAAGATAAATGTCGCCATCAACCAGAAGATAAACTGCAGATATTTTGCTCTACAAGAAGCATTTCTTTTGATTTTTTGCACAGGCTAAAAGAAAGTATGGTTGTTAAAAATAAATGGCTTGCAATGCATTCAACATCTATGGGTCATTTTTAGGACACGATGAATGTTTGTTTTCATTTGGTATGTATCAAGATATTCGTCAATGTCAAATGATGAAGTTTTTATGCAAGTATTCTTGTCGTTTCGGCAAATTTGTTGGCATATTATGGGTGTTAATTTAATAAAACTGCAAATTGATGGTATGAGGCAAGGCAGTTTCGATTAATTTGTCTGCTAAGGTATTTAAAATGACTTAAACATGAAATTTGGTTCCATCGATCATTTAGTTATATGAAAGAACTATAGCCAAATACAAAATATGTTGAGTGCTTGTGTTGGAACGTTAATAATTTTAGAAATAACATTAAAATTGTGTCATTCTTCTTGTTTCTATTAGAAAATGCAATTAAATTTGCTTATTTAAACTTTAGCCCGATGCTTTGGAATTTAGAAATTTTTAAGATTTTTCTAAATTTTTGCTCCCCCCCCACCATTATGATGACGTCATCTTCAAACCACGTGACTTAAATACTGAACATAGTACAAAATGTGAAGAATAGATAAGAGTACCATCCAAAAAAGTTCATTGCCCTAGCTAGAGGGCAAAGAAATTACGGAGGGGTAATTTGTGCCCCCCCACTAGTCTCCCGAAAGTTTCAAAAAGCCTAGTCTGGATAGGGTTAAGTTAACTTCGCCAAAGATTGTGTTTACCGTGCATTTACCGTAGTAATTAAACAAATAGTAATCCATGGGTCAGTATACATTCTGCTACACTAAGACAAGTACTTTATCTTTTGCATAATACAAAACTTATCCAAATCCATAATATTCAATATTGGCTAAATAAACACTGCAAAGCTTAACAATGATGAATAGTTTTGTTATCTTAAAATAGATCGGAAAAATACTAGAGATTCTGATTTTGCTATCATAGAAACTTTATCTCTCAGATATTCCCAACAAACCAAGCAATAGCGAATTTTACTTTAGTGTTCAGAGAAATAATGTTAAGATTAAGCAAACCGTTACCTCTCGAAAGAAGTCCTTAGAATAGTTGAAAAACAATCCTTATTCTTAAACAGTCACAGTGCTTGATATCAGAAAGTTCCCTCTGTGAACAAGGCTCAAAACAGATGACTGGTGTCCTGATTTGACGATTCAATGATAGCAATAGTAATGGTTGGAGAGTTTAAATGAATATTGTTTACTTTAACCGCTGCTGAAACCTAAATTTTGTTACCAAGTTTTAACTTAGTTTGATGTTTGCTGGTGGTATCCATGACAAGACAGTGTCTTTAAGCTAAACAAACTAGCCTGTAAGAAGTTCTTCGCATAAGCCATCGAAACAATAAGGAGCCAGCTTTAGATCGGCATGAACAAAATCCCAATTCAGAGAAAAAAGCGTGACTTCAATGCTATAGTATAAGTCACATGATCACTTTTCATTTGATTTACATTTGATTTTATTTAATTTCGATTTACTGATTACACACTGTCCATTAGGATCTTTTAGAAATATACAGGAAATTCTATGAACGAACTGTGGTATTTATTAGAACATCATATTAGAACCAACAGCCACGTTATCAACTTTCATGAATCTGAGGTATCTATCGGTAGATTGTAGAATGGCAAAATATTATCAAAGCCAAGACACCCGACAGAAATTACAGTATCTTATGCTCATTTCATACCAAGAATTGTTGACTTTATGGCCAAATGTTGTAGTTTTATTGAGTGCCAGATACATTTGCTTCTCAAAAGGTTTACATAAGCCGTCATCTTTTCAGGGCCTCGTGGGCCACTGGAAATCTTTGTGAACAAAATTGCATTTCAAAACTATTGTTGCAGTCATTTCTTGAATTTGTTGAGATCGTTTAGTATTTTCGAAGATGCTTTTGCTACATTCCGTACTTAAAAGTGAATTCATATTTTACGAGACCCCCTAATTCTCGGTCCTGGGATGTTTGCCTCCTTGATTTCTTCCTCTCGAAGGCCTGGTCCTTTTATCTAAATAATTCACAAATGTCTGTCTTCAACAAGCAATTAACCTTATAAGAGCATCTGCTTTTCCAATACCC